TCATGGAGCCAAATGACAGGCAGTGAGCATGGCCGAAGCCATGCTGTGGGAAAAGCTTTCTCTGACAGGGCCATCACAGCTTTCCAGGCCTCTGTAGATGCCCCACACTGCCTTCTACACTGGTGTGTGCTATCAGCTTTTAGATCAGATATGAAGAGTATATATTCTTATTTTTCCAGCCTACGAATGAGGTCACAGCCATTTATATCCAGATATCCTAGCAAAAAGTTTTCCTTTCAGCAAATCCAGTTTATGTCAAGTCTAGCCTGAGAGGTTGCCCAGAACAACCAAAGGAATCTGCTGTTTTAAGAATGGAGAGGGCTTTCCAAGAGCTCTTGATACTGGTTGAGGTTAATACCATCCTAGCTGGTCCACTGTTGCCCCTCCTTTGGAGCTAACTTTTTATGATTGTGACTGAACAGAAATCCAGATTTGCCTTTGCCCACTCCATTTCTAACTGGGGGGGGGGCGGTAGAAGGGGGTGGATGATGACCTCAACAACCTTTTATTGCATTCGCTACCCTAAAGGAGCTGCTTGCTCTGTTGAACAACCAGAGACATTCCCTTCCCACGGGTGCAATGGATCCTGAAATAAGATGGCTCTTAAAAGTAGCTCAGGTTCCCTCATGACTTAAGATCCCTCGGCATTGCAGAAGAACCGAATTGAATTTAGCTGTCAGATCTCCTGAAAAGAGATGGACTGGACTTCGTATAAGAGCCACCGTTTGGTATCTGCATTCACCAGGAGAGGAGGGCTGGATGAGGGGTCAGATCCTCTAGTGTGCCTGGCATCCCAGTGACAGCACACAGCAATCTGGGCAGATTACAGTTTGCAGGAGTTCCGCCCACACTCCTGAGGACCTTGACTTGCATCTGTTCGACTTTCTCAGGTCTGAGCCCCGGTTTTGGGGGTGGGATTGAATGCTACGTCTCTGACTCTTTCATTGTCCTTCTGCCCAAAGGTTTCATAAGGACACTCTGAGAGATGCCACATTGCAGGTTTGCCTTGTTTTGTTCTTGAGAATGCTGCTAGTTTTGAATTACACATTTTGCTTTTTTGTCTTTTGTCCTCTGTAGATGATCACAGTAGGGTGAAGTTAAGGCCTTTACCAGGGAAGGACTCTAAGCACAGCGACTACATTAATGCAAACTATGTTGATGTAAGTCAGAAATGTTTTTATAACCCTCTTTCATAAAATAGAAGAGTACAGCAGTGAGCGTGATCTGATATTCACTGTATTAAGACCTTCACTGGAAGCACAGACCGTTCCATGTGGAAGCCACCTGCATGACTGACCGCTCTTCTGGGAGTGGCTCTGATCTCACTGTGTGCTGTGTCCTCTTTGAAGGGTTACAACAAAGCAAAAGCCTACATCGCCACCCAGGGGCCCTTAAAGTCCACGTTTGAAGACTTCTGGAGGATGATTTGGGAACAAAATACTGGAATTATCATCATGATTACAAACCTTGTGGAAAAAGGAAGAGTAAGCACCTTGTGCCTTTATATCTTAATCATGCACAAATATTAAAAAAATATCTATTAATAGATGGAGGGCCTGCTGTAGGTAGGAAGTGCACCGGTATAAAAGGTTCTAGAAATGAAAACCTCCCTTATCGGGTCTTGGGGAAGACGGCTTGAGTCCAGGAATGAACTCAGTGTGATGGGATACTGCAGGCCTCAGCGAGGAGATTGGAAGGACCTACAGCTGAGGCTTCCATGGAGGGACGGCCGTGAGAAGGGAGGGGCAGCAGCAGAGGGAACGTGGCAGACTCAAAACATTCCTAAACAGTTGAGGTTGTAGGGGAGCAAAGACTACCTAACATTTGCACCATCATTAAGAAAACCTTTAAAATCTATGCGTATTTTTAATGATGGTTAACATTTGTCTTTATTTTTTTCTTTTTTGAGAATGAGGCAGTGAGTGAGTCGATGGTTAACATTTGTGGTGTAAAAAAAAAAACAACCAAAAAAACCAATGCTAGTGGAAGCTGGGAAAAGTTCCTTGCTCAAACCCCCTATTCCATCTCTGACTGTGGAATCCCTTGGTTTGGGCTTTCATGACCCAAATATATGTCCTAGACCGATTCTCAGTCTAAAGGAGCCTTCCATGAGTCCAGCCCAGCTTCTCAAACTGTACTCAAGCTCCTTTGTAATAATACCCTGGCAATATTCTTACAGGGTTTTGTTTTGGGTTTCCACCCCCCCCAGACCCTCTTCCAAGCTTCTCGCGTGTTCAAGGATTATCTTAAATACTAGGTCCGTTTTCCAAATGATCTTGCCTGAACTTGATCTAAGACACCAGCTGCTTTTTTCAGCCAATTACATGACAGTACTTGACCTGGGTCTTCACGTTGCCATTTGAAATGGCTTCTCAACAGTAG